TGGCCACTCCCGGCCACTGCAGCCTTGACCTGCTGGGCTCTGGCGATTCTTCCGCCTCAGCCTTCCAAGTAGCTGGAACCACAGGTGCGCATTACCACGTCTGGCTAATTTCTGATTTATTGTAGAGATGAGGTCTTGCCAAGTTGCCCAAACGGGTCTTGAACCCTCTGGCTCAGGCAATCCACTCACCTCAGCCTCCCAAAGCTCTGGGATTACAGACTGAGCCACCGAGCCCGGCTCATATCATTAGTCTTAATCATACATAACACTTAAAGATCCCAGCCTTCATACTTATTTATATTAACTAACTTTATAGATTAGAAAAGTGAGACACAGAAATATTCCCCCAAACCACACAGCTGGTAAGTGGCAGAACTGAGATTCACTGGCTTTCAAACAGTGATTCTCAGCCCCAATGGCTCTGTCTTGGGACACATGCTTTGTAATGCCCCTTTGCTATACCCAAATGAAATCCCTAGTTAATATAGCCCGTGTATACATATTTTTTTAACATGAGTGTTCTAATTGTAACATTAAGTAGAAAATAAAGAGGAAATAGGTTGTTTTATAATGGCAAAAGATCTGGTTCACCAGGGTGATATGAGTACTAAATCTGTATGTACCTGATAACATGGCTTCAAAATACATAAAGCAAAAATTGACAGAACTGCAGGAGAAATATATGAATCTATAACCATTGTGGGAGACCTTAACACACCCTTTCAATAATTTCATAACAAGCAGGTGGAAAACAAGTCAAGACCTAGAAGATTTGAACATGTGATTAATACATTTAACCTAATAGACTTACACAGAAAGCATCAGAACATGCATTCTTTTCATATACCCATAGAACACTCACTTAAACTATAGGCCATGGTGCCAGTTTCCAGGGACTTCAAAGGGGCGAAGTGACACAGGCACATTAAAATATTCTCTGAGCAAACACAGATTGTGCTGGAATTGATAATAAACACTGACTAGAAAGTCCCCCTATGTTCAGAATATTTAAAAATTCAATGAATATTAAAAGCAGGTCCCAAGCCATGAGTGGTGGCTTATACTTGTAATTCTAGCACTTTGGGAGACCAAGGTGAGAGGATCACTTGAGACCTGGAGTATGAGTCCAACCTGGGCAATACAGCTAGACCTCGTCTCTACAAAAAAAATATTTTTTAATTAGCCGGGCATGATGGCGCCTGCCTGTAATCCCAGCTACTCGGGAGGCTGATGTGAGAGGATCACTTAGCTCAGAAGTTGGAGGCTGCTTTACGATCACACCACTGCACTTAGCCTGGGTGATAGAGCAAGACCCTGTCTCAACAAAAACTCCCCAAAATCTAGGTCTCCCAAAAGCATTTGTGTCTATACACAAAAAGGAGTTCGGCTCTAGAATAAGCTAAAATTATTAGATAGTCTTTTCATCTACACAAGTTTCCATTCAAGAGTCACAGAGAACATAAGACAATTTTTTGGTGTCCATGACAGTGTAGCATCCGTGACTGTTCCCCATCAAAGATCAACTGTTGGGGCAACCAAAAAACACCCACAAATTTTCCCAAAGCCCCCTAGAGGGTTCCATTCTCTGCCACACATAATCGCTCTTCTGTACAACAGTAGAGAGTTTGAAATCCCAAAGAATGGCACAGAAAGTGGATAAGGGACTCAAGCACAAAATTTAAGGGGTTACCACAAAAAACTCACTATTTAAGATAAATCATTTTTATGTTTTTAGAGACTGAGTCTCGCTCTGTCACCCAGGCTGGACTCGCACTCTAGGCCTCAAGTGATCCTCCAGCCTCAGCCTCCCAATATTTTCATGACAGTATTTTAATAAATCAAATGAGTGCAAACAATCTATGACAAAAATATCAAGAGGTTAAGTAAAGACAGGATTTGATCCTGCACTTCTGTGACTGTGCCCTGTCCCCATCACCAAACTCCTGGCCTGGGTTGCAATCAAACTGTTTACAAAAACCAGACAGCTGGTCCTTGAACTCTAGTTTGCTGATTTGATTTTTTAAAATTTTGCATTAAAATATGATTTATGGCTGGGCGTGGTGGCGCACACCTGTCATCCCAGCACTCTGGGAGAAGATTGAGGTGGGAGGATCATTTGAGCATAGGAATTTGAGATCAAGATCAGCCTGGGCAACATAGCGAGACCTTGACTCTAGAAAATAAATAAGCTGGGCATGGTGGCTCATGCCTGTCATCCCAACACTTTGGAGGACAGAGGCGAGAGGATTGCCTGAGTCTAGGGGTTTGAGATCAGTCTGGGCAACTTGGTGAGACCTCGTCTCTACAATAAATCAAAAAATTAGTCGAGCGTGGTGGTGCATGCCTGTGGTTCCTGCTACTTGGAAGGCTGAGGGGGAAAGATCGCCTGAGCCCAGCAAGTTGAGGCTGCGGTGGCTGTGAGCATGCCACTGCACTCCAGTCTGGACGATAAAGAGTGAGATTCTAGCTCAAAAATAAAGAAGTAAATAAACAAAATAAAATAAATTAGGTAGGTGTGGTGGTGTGCCCCTGTAGTCTCAGCATCTTGGGAGTCAGACTCCCAAGCTGCTGGGACTACAGAGGCACTACTGAGCCTGGCCTATTATTATTATTATTATTGTATTTTTTCGAGTTGGAGTCTCAGTCTGTCACCCAGACTGGAGTGCAGTGGCCGCTCCCAGCCACCGCA